TAGCCAGCTCAGATTTATAAAGAAAACATTTTCCACACTCGGGACAGGAATACGGCCTTTCGTCTATATGAGTCCTTTGGTGTTTGGCCAGCTCAGATTTATAAAGAAAACATTTCCCACACTCGGGACAGGAATACGGCCTCTCACCTATATGAGTCATCTGATGTTTGGCCAGCTCAGATTTATAAAGAAAACATTTCCCACACTCAGGACAGGAATACGGCCTTTCAACTGTATGAGACCTCTGATGTTTGGCCAGCTCTAATTTTTGGTGAAAACATTTCCCGCACTCATGACAGGAATATGGTTTCTCACCTCTATGAGACCTCTGATGTCTGGCCAGTTCTGATTTATAAAGAAAACCTTTCCCACACTCAGAACAGGAATATGCCTTCTTGCAGATTTGAGATTTCTGGTGTTTGACCAGCTCTGATTTGCTTTGAAAAAATTTCCCGCACTTAGGACAGGAATATGGTGTCTCACCCATATGTAATCTCTGATGCGAAGAAAGATTCCACTTCCGTGAAAAGCATTTCCCGCACTCAGGACAGGAATATGGTTTCTCTCCTGTGTGAGACCTCTGATGTTTGACCAGTTCTGACTTATAAAGAAAACATTTGCCGCACTCAGGACAGGAATGAACCTTCTCACCCGTGTGCAATCTCCGATGTGCAGAAAGATTCCATTTCTGAGAAAAACACTTTCCGCACTCAGGACAGGAATATGGTTTCTCCCCTGCATGAGACCTCTGATGTAAAACCAGTTCTGATTCAAATGGAAAACATTTCCCGCACTCAGGACAGGAATGCACAGTCTCACCCGCGTGAGATCTCTGATGTGCCAAAAAGTTGCACTTTCGCAAAAAAAATTTCCCGCACTCAGAACAGGAATATGGCTTCTTGCCCATGTGAGAACTCTGGTGTTTGACCAGCTCTGATTTATGGAGAAAACATTTCCCACACTTAGGGCAGGAATGTAGTGCCTCACCCCTGTGTAATCTCTGATGTGCAGAAAGATTCCACTTCCGTGAAAAACATTTCCCGCACTCCAGACAGGGATACGGCTTCTCACCTGTGTGAGACCGCTGATGTGTGTAAAGATGAGACTTCCTTGAAAAACATTTCCCGCACTCCGGACATGAATGTGGTTTCACGCCTGTATGAGATTTCTGATGTTTGATCAGTTCTGACTCGTAAAGAAAACGTTTCCCGCACTCAGGGCAAGAATGAAGCTTCTCACCCATGTGCGATTGCTGATGTCTGATCAGTTTGGATTTATAAGGAAATCTTTTCCCGCACTCAAGACAGGAATGAGGCTTCTCACCTGTGTGAGATATTTGATATACAGAAACACTTGGTTTAGAACTTTCCCCCCATTCAGGATAGGAAGGTTTCTTCTTTCCTTGAGCTCCAGCCCCATCCCCCACAGTACGAGGTTGCTCAGAGTCAGAGGGATTCCATGGTCTCTCTACACTGGGAAGTCCACCATCCATAGTGGAGCTCATTGTCTTTTCTCCGGCACAATCTCCTGGGATGTCCTCATCTTCCATTTTACAACCTGGAGATGAAGTGAGATGATCCTTTGAGGGTTTCTCCATGGCGGGTCCTGGAAAAATAGAAAAACATCATCAATAGATAGGAGAGGGTTAGTTCACTTCCATCAAGATTCCATCTGGATCAGGGAGATAGGAGGGAGCAGATGTTCTCTGTGGATGTCCCAACCAGCTGGGACTCCTTTCCTCTTCAGTCAAAGGGCCTTTGGTCCTCTCAGATCACTTCTACATTTACACCGCCTTGTCAAAAGGGGCAGGAACCAATGGGGGCGGGGGGGGGGGGGGGGGGGGAACCAATGGGGGCGGGGGGGGGGGCAGTAACAGAGCAGAGATAAGAGAAAAATATATTCTGGTCACCTGTGCTGATCTCTGTAGGAGTGTCCTCCTCTATGAATGTCCTCCTCATTCCAGCCTCCTCCGTATATTGCTGATCATCCCTCACATACGTCTCTTCTACTTCACCCTCAACTTTCATGTTCATCAGATCTTCAAAAAGCTTCTTCACCACTCCATACTCCTCATTGTCCACTTTATACTCTTCTTTAACAACAATAACACAACCCTCAAGGTTTCCACTCTAAATGTATAAAAAAAAATATATTGTAACAAACATGCTTGTGTATAAATCACAACTGCCAAAATTTGTTCTTTGTCTACCTGATGATGGTGAGGGATGGTGCGACTTTTCTGTGTGGAATCCCAGGAATACAGAGGACGGGGACATCTCTCTGGTGGGTTCCCATGACTGGATCCATCTACCTGATGATGGTGAGGGATGGTTTGACCTTCCTGTGTGGAATCCCGGGAATACAGACGACGGGGACATCTCTCTGGTGGGTTCCAGGTATTAGGAGTCTCCATCATAATGTCCTTGTAGGGATCCTTGTGTCCTTCAGAAAGATTCTTCATCACACCATACTCATCATCATCATCCTTTTTATACTCTTC